TTTCTGGCTATCCACACAACAGACAGACTTTATAATCCTACAGATGGCACATGGTCGGAGCAGCCTACCACGAAGAAGAGAGATTTTGGAAGCGTTACTGAAAGAGCCATGCCAAGCTTGACGGCAGAGGACAACGTGCAGCAGGCCATGCTGCAGTACCACCAGAAGAGCATCCTTCCTTCCCTGGACCAGTTGCAGATGCGCTGCGATCAATTTTACAAGATGGCACAACATGAGTTTGCGATGACACAGTACACCCTGGACAGACATTCCAGCCAACTGCAGGTGCTGGAGCGTTCCAAAGCCAACAAAACCATACTTTTGCTGGATTTACCGCCAATTTTCAACAAGAAGACTCTGGACGCAAATGTTGGGTATTATCTGCAAGCCGCTGGCCTCCAATGGGACCAGGTGGCGGCAATGCACAATCACATGGTTTCCTCCGCCTCTTCACTTGTTCGCCTGGAATTTCTCACTGAACAGCAAGCTGCCCAGTTTAGGGACCAGATGAGACAAGGTCGCCGTTACTGGCGCGACCCCCAGCAGCAAGACCACAAGATCAGGATTGAGCAGGATCAGCCATTGGAAGACAGATTGGCTATGCAACCGTATTATGCTTTACTTGACGTCCTCGCCGAGCTCTATGTGGAAGAAACTGGAGAAGACACCCATGCCTCCCTACAGACCTGGAGGCAGACGCTGCAGATCTGGACCCCTAAGGGGGTGGAGCCCAAGCAACTTATTGGGCAGGTGAGCTACGTGCTTGATCCGCGCTTTGCGCGCCGCTACTCATGCTTGCTTTTGGTACATGACAGATTTTACGACGCGGCCCTGACAAGATGGCATGCAAAATTTTCGCGGAGACTTCGGGATACCTTGTTTCTGGCACAGGCGCTCAAGCGCGCCACTTCTGACCGCACGACTGTGCAACGCGCTTCCTACGACAAGGCCTTCGACCTCACTACTGCCTCCCACGCGCAGGCTTTTCCTTACACGGTGATGCCGGTACGCATTTCGGATGATCTGGCTTCTATGCTTGAGTCTCACCCCATGTTGCCTTTTCAAGGCGCTGGCGGCATGACCGCCTTGACGGCCCAGGCTTTCTTAGATTCTAGATCAGGGTTTTGAGGATTACGGCAAAGGGTCCCCTAGGGCTAAGGGAGCCGGAAAAGGTAAGCCCCAAACCAAATCCCGAAACGACCGCCAGGACCAATGGACTCCCCAGATGGGCAAAGGCAGCAGTGACCGATCTTCTTACCAAGGATGGTCCCAGAAATCCGGATGGTCTGACTACAACACATACCAGAAGCCCAAAGATAAAGGCCAGGCCAAGGGCCAATGGTTGAATGTTTTCAAGAATGCTCTCGGGAACACCCACAGACAACCTGGGCCATAGTTAGCACAATAGTTTTGGCAATAGTTGTAATTGTTGCAATTGTTTTGGCAATTGTTTTGGCAATTGTTTTAATTGTTGCAATTGTTTTGGCAATTGTTTTGGCAATTGTTTTAATTGTTGCAATTGTTTTGGCAATTGTTTCGGCAATTGTTTTGAAAGTTTGCGATATTTTCAACAATTGTTTAGGAAATGCTTCGAACATGGAAACATTTTAGAAATAATATTTTAACATTTGTTTGGAATAGTTGCAAAGCTGTTTCAACTACTACAGAAAACACCTTGTTCTCTTGACTTGTTTTTTCCTGTTGACAAACACTGACAAACACCACATGGCACAACATCACACTGCATGCATACTTGCCATGGTCCAACACTGTTCCAGCACGTTGGGCTCAAACAGCCCAGTTCGTCTGAGCTACCACGGCTACCACCCACCAACACAAGCACGCACACAGCCACACCTTCACACAAAGTCCTTAGGACACGTAGCACTGTTTAGGGTTACTACCCACCAACACAAGCACGCACACACCTTCACACAAGGTCCTTAAGACACGTAGCACCACTTAGAACACGTAGCAGCAAGGTCCTCATGACACTCCTTAAGACACGTAGCACCAAGGTCCTGAGGACACGTAGGCATCAAAGCATGCTGGGCGTTGCAGATCTTGCCGCCATTGTGGAACAGCATGCCGCCCCGAATCAAGAAGTAGACGGTGATTCACCGGGTGAGGGTGCTGGCGGTGATGGTGTTCGGCAAGGACGCAACCGGGGGCGGGCCGGTGGGCGGGCCGGTCATGCACGTGCGGTGAATTTAGCGCGAAGTCGCTCAAGCCGTAGGGGGCTGGGGGTGCAGAAAGACCGGGAGGCTAAAAATAAGCTTCAGGTCGTGGCTGCCAACTCTTCTGGCCGCAATCGCACCAGGGATCACTTGTTTCCCATGCATTCAGCAGACAAACGTGCAAAAGTTTCTGGTCGTGCGGGTTGGAAGGTTTGGACGCCAGAGGCGCTGTTGAGGGCTGCTTTTGCAAGTCCGTCTGCGGCGTTACGCCAGGTTGCACAGGAGATTGACGGTGCGAGTGGCAGCCACGTGCTGAATGCACGGATGTTGGTTGCCGACATCATCTTGCAAAAGCAAGCCGAAGGTTTGCAATACCAGAAAACAGCAGCAGTGCGTTCGGCCCTTCTCGCATCAGCCCCCAAGTTCTGGATAATGAACCTTATGTTTGACGAAACAGAGTTAGAGTTGACGCTGGATGGCGAAGGGCCTGGGGCCTGGTCAATTCTAGCATCGCACTCGCAGCTGAGCATTGGCAATGGTGATTCTGATTCTGTTCAGGAGTTCGATTTTGTGCGACTCCCACAAGCCTTGCCCAGGAAGACGGCGTCTTGCATGTACGAGGCTCTTTGCCAGGGTGAGGGCAGTCTCGCAGCAAACAGCATGTCATTGCAGGCTGATTATTGCTGTATCATCATCACTTGTGATCAAGCATCTGCCAACATCAGGCTTTTAAAGCACGTGCATGCCGTGCTGCCTGAAAAAGTGTATTTGCTGCCAATGCTGTGTGCACAACACCGAAATGGAAATGTGATAGAACGTTTGACAAAATTACTCGGCATTTTGCCAGGTTGCTATTGCTTGTCCAAGTGCAGCCAGAAAGGCAAACTCTTCAAGGATTGGAAGCAGGCAATCAGAACCCAGTTGCAGGATGATTTGAAAATCCTGCCCGCAGAGCCCCCAGGCGTGCAGGCAGAGTGGGCAGCAGCAAGAAAACAAGCCCAATTGTTCTTGGAACTGGTGCTGGAAGGTCTTGCCGACAACATTGACGACAGTTCTGGTCTTCGTCCGGGTACTTCGGCCGACATCAAGAAGTTCACAGACTTCTTCCGAGGCCCTTGGACAGGACCGACACCTGCATTCAGATTCAGCGTTCAGTGACGTTCAGAATTGGGCATTGTGTGGGTGTCAGTTGTTTGTTGCGCGTGTCACTGCATGTTGCATGTCTTTTCTTGCAAGTGTCAGCGATCGCCAAGTCAGCAGTGGTTTGCTATCACCGCAGTGTGGGCCTGGTGCCTATCAAGCTCGTGGACTAGTGACCTGTGGTCCACTTGTGACTCGCTTGTGGTAGTGAATCCGAAGACCGTGAAGAGCCATGTCGTCTACCCACACAATCATGAACATGCAGGATGTTTTGTTGCACGGCTTTGTGAATCGCGAAGGCCTTTCAGCTTGTTTCGAGCCAGCAGATGCTCGGAGACAGGCATTGTCAGGCCTTTGGACAGGTAAAGACATGAAGCCTCAGGATGTGTATGGAGCTGTGGAGAAGCTGCAATCAGTGCTGTGCTGCGACACCTATGGTGGGGTTGACGCTGTCCGGTATGCCCGGGATGCGTACAACAAGCGGCACCTTTCCTGAGTTACGGACTTACGTGTTTGATGGGATCGGATGGTTAGATAGTTACTCTACTTAGTTAGTGAGATGATTCAATGATTTCAGCGTTGAAGAACCAAGCGTAGAACTATGTGCAGGCATCCGATGCACCTCATCCTCGACCTCCAGAACGGCAAAGGCGGGAAGTTGTGGCTTGGAGGCCACTTCGCGGATGTTGCATGCCTGACACAGATCACAGAACCATGTCGCGGTGGTGTTTCCAGCAAACAGAACTGCCACGAATCATTTGCAAGACCAAGCAGCAGTGAGAATCCTCCCGTTTGTGGACGGGACTGGCGTTGTCCATAAAGACGTGGCTTTGAGCCAGGTTATTGACCGCCTTCACTCAGTGATCGAGCTGCTTTTGAAGGGCTTCTCCGTGGTGATTTTATGTCACAACGGAGCGCACAGGTCTGCGACCTTGACACTTGGCCGAGGTGATGAATGGTGTAGTGGTTCATAATGGGGGTTTTGCGGCTTTCTGGATTCATGGCTTTATCATCGCTTCGCAATAAGACTTCTGGGTCAGTTCAGTTTAGGACAGACGAGTGCAGCGTGTGTTTAGTAGGCAGTGCAGGTGTAGGTATGTTATGGTATGGTTAGAGACACAGAGCTGTGGCATTTGAGCCAAGGACCGTGTTGCTCTTGATGATCATCTGTGGCATTCCCTTCGATACGGCCAGTCACCATGTGACACAGCTTCGGAACATCGTGGACCTTCAAAGCCGAGCACCGTGCAGAGGCGGACGTATCAACACAATACGCCCGATGGACTTTCTGGCGGAGGTCTCTGACCAGGTTGCTGTCACGGGCGCCATGGTCGGCAACGGCAGAGGCGTGGCATCAAGCAACATGCTGAACGTTTCTTCGCTTCAATTTTAGACTTTTAGGTTGGGCTTGAGTGTTCACTATAATGATATAATGTATCAATGTTGCGTGTTCAGTGAGTCTGCGCCCTGTGCTCCACCGAGGATCTCATGACACCTTTGACGTTGAGGAAAATGGCTTTGGAGCTGGGTTTCGAGACTCGCAACCACATCCGGCCGAGCCTCCCGTCTCTGCCAGTTTCGATGGTCAGGGCCAAAGGCCAGGTTAAAGAAGTCCGAGATCTGTTGGAAGCCCGCTCACAGCAGATTGAGGCCACCAGGCCAAAAGCCAGAGCTCCCGCCGCCATCAAAACGAAGGCCATGCCGGCAGGTGGGCGGGTTAAGGCATGGAGGTTCAGCGATTCGGGTGAGACGGGGACGGAATTTGGCTTCACCACTGACGACTCCTACGATATTGTGAGCATGGTTGGCGGCAAAGGCCTCACAGACTTTGAGTCCGATGCTCCCAAGCGTGCAACACTCCCAGGAGCTGCTTCGGCCAGTGGCGTTGCGCCAGGTTCCCGACCCCAGTCTTCGGCATCTGATGGCACTGAAGATCCGGACGCCGGTGCTCTGCCAGCCTCTTTGCCAGTGTCGTCCGAGGCAGAGGACGACGCGTATTACATGGTGGACAAAAGCCAACAGTCTGCGAGTACGAAGATGTGGCAGGATCGCAACCCGGAAAGCCCAGTTGCCTCGCCAAGGTGGACCTCCGAAGACTTCGTTCGGCTGCAAGGGGTAGTGAAAGACCTTGGAGACTTGAATCGTCAGCTCATGGCTTTCACCGCCAGCCCGGACGAGCTTGACGAGGAAGTCGAAGTTGAGGTCGAGGTTGAGGACGAGCCGGTGGAGGAGCAGAATGTGAAGATCGAGGAGGAGGCGGCTGACTATGGTGGCGATACGGATATGGAGCAGCAAGAGTCAGACCAAGCCGGCAAAGGAGAAGCTGAGGCTATGGAGGAAGAGGAAGAGCACCCACCTACAAGCTGCCCGTCATGATGTTTTTTTTTGAGTTTTTAAAAACTGACCTTAATTTCCTAGTACTTAGTACTAAGTGGGGGTTATGCGACTTGCTTGGTTGGCCCTTTTGCCATTTGCTTTTTGCTTCTTTTCCTACACAGCAATCTGAGGCCCGGTGCCTTCTGAAGGCGAGGAAGAGACCAAGCCCGAGCCAGCTGCGGATGATAAGTCCATGGCAGCGGCCTCTGGCCAGGTGTTCGTCGACCCCAACATGACAGCCGCCGCTGCCATCGAAAATCTGGTTCAGGCTGTCAACCGACTACAGAAGGCTGGCGAGAAGGACGAGGGCCAGGATCCGGAGTCAGCTGAGACGTTAGCCAGGCTGTTTGAGTTGTTGGAGACACAAAAGGTCCAGCAACAGACGCTACTGACGCGACTCACAAAGGTCACGAACCAGGCTGAGGCAGACCAGCGCAAGAAGGAAGTTTTCGAGGTCATGTACAACCGTGACTTTTCGAGGCTGAGGCACCTCCTGTGCAACGAGCTGCCGGTCTCAGAGCTGGCTACCCTGCGCGATCACCAAGGCATGAGCCTTGCTCATCATTTGGTGCGCACAGGCTTAAAGCCAGGTTTGGAGTGGGTGTTGCCGTTAGACAGCACTTTGGGAGATTTTTTCCTCGCAGTTCTAGTTTTAGTTTGTAGAATGTCGGCAACCTTTTTATGCTTGTGGTTTCCGGTCCTTTTGATACAACCCAGGTCGAAAGCCCCTTCATTGGCGGATGTGGCAACACTTCCATCCGGTATGCCGCCCAATTGGACGCCTCTCATGGTGCTCGTGGACAGTCCTCCTGGACAATTGGGTGGCATTGAATACGCGTACAGCATGCTTTGCACGCTGCTCCAGCACATGAGCGCTACTGGCATTCAGAGCTTTGGCCTGTTTAAAGTTTGAGCTTCTTGCAGTCTTCAATGTTCAGTAGCTTCCTGCTGAGGAAACAGGAAACAAAGGGAGGGTTTGAAAGAGCCTTCAGATTTCGGCTTCTAAATTCTTTGCAGGCTCAAGGTGCCTACGCTGTTATGGTGACCACTGTGCTGTGCTGCAATGCTCCTGGCAATGGCGTGGTCTGATGACATTAGACTAATGTTGCCAAAGCAGAGAACTCTCGTCAGAGTTCAGAAGGCTGAGAAGTGGCTTGGTTGGGCCTTGGGCCGGGTTTGGCAAGACATCTCAGACAGGCGTCAATCCAACCAGGTGTCGTTTCCATTGGAAACACCTGGTTGGAATTGATGCCGGTCTGAGAAGGTTGGGCAAGCACCGGCAGCTATGCCAACATGGCCTTTGGCCCCGTTGCCCACGTCGTCTGCAGAGCCATGACGGTTGACCCTATTCTAAGACTCTTAGAATAGGGTCAACCGTCATGGCTTTGTCTCCCCCCGCAAGCTACTCTATGAGCTGTGGTCCATGGTGGCGGCTATTATGCGGAAAACCCTGGCCTCGGGAACCGAAATTTCGATCCTGGAGAACCTATGGACTGAAGCCCAGTGGCCAGCCTGTAGCAAGCCGGCAGGCCATGCTGGATTGCCTCTCCAGCATGGCCTGCCTGGCTTGCTACAGGCTGACTCTGATGTGATGTGTTTCTATGACATGGCCGGCCGCACAGATGGAGAAGAGGCTAGCATTGTCAGTGTCGAATGCCAGGTCATCGCACATTAAGGCAAGGTGGCAGCTGAGATCCGGTCCTGAGGCGTCTGTAGTCAGTTCTCACGATTCACGATGAGCTTCGTAGCGAGTCTCTAAACTTCTGACCTTGTGGCAGTGTACAGTGAAGCGACCAAAATGGCAATGACATGTTGGAAGACATGCCGGTGCCAATGGGGACAGCTTTTTTGGTATTACATGTTTAGAATGTTAGAATTCAGGTTTTCTTCCAGAGTTCCGACAGGCTTTTTTATATCAGGCCAAGAACACACACACACACACCTACACACACACACTGTCACACACTTGACACAACGACTTAGGAGTTAGGAGTTATATGTCTTTCTTGAATAATCACAAGGGAACTAAGAGGCGGCTTATAAGTCAAGTCGGTAGTTTATAGATTTTATTAGACTACTTGTTCAATCCCTGAATGCCAAAATCGTTCCTCCTTGAAAACCTGGAACCTAAAGCTTGGGTAACTAGTCTTTGCACACGCAACTTGACAAAGCTCAGCCGAGGACCCGTGCCGCAAGTGGCAGTACCGCGCTGCACATAGCGGCGTCAAGGGGGCAGCTCAGCTTTATCAAGAAGATTTGCTGGTCTCTCTACCACAAATTGGGCGGATCGTCCGAGTACGGGGGCGAAAGATCGACCGCGGCTTTCCACATGGTCGGGGCTTGCCTGAACTCGCCAGGTGGAAAAAAAAGGACAAGGAGTCGTGGACATGGCTCTTGGCAACAACATCGAATGCGCAAACTACCTCAAAACAACATGGGGTGGACGCGAACTTTTGGAAAACCCGCGCAAGCGGGGACAGGGCTATGTCTGAGCGGCGGTCTTTGGCCTTTGGCCAGGTTGCAGTGCCATTTGGAGCTTATTAGTTACTAGTTATTAGGGCCGGCCTTTGGCCAGATTGCAGCTAAAGTCTTGACTGGAGAAGTTTGAGACGCAGTTTTTCATCGGCTGTGATCGTTGCCTGCCTTAAGCCCTAAGCTCCAGCTGAAGCTGCGGCCTGTGGCCGGGTTGCAGTCTCACTTGCCTGCTGCAGAGTCATAGTCTAGTGGCATATTAGCGGCATGTTGACATTCTGTTGATGATGGTCATCATTGCAAAAAGCATCAAAACTTGATGTGTGATTGCAGGCAAGCTGAGATTAGCAACCCATAATACGAGAGACGAGAGTTGCTTAGCCGCAACGCAAACCTTTTTTGTGGCTAGCCTTTGGCCGGGTCGCGACGCAGAATAGAACCACATCGTTTTATGCATCGCCTGCCTTGGCTTTTGGCATCGTTTCAATTGATTCAGGATACACAGTAAGTTGTTCTGCGTCGTCGGCCTTTGGCCTGTACTTTAGCCCGTTGGCCTTGGGCCTTAGGCCTCGTTGCACCGCCTTGGCTGTGGGGCAACGCAAAAGAACCGCTGCGGCAGGCCACCAGTCCGGTATGATGTGTTGGCTCCTTCGATTTCTTAGATCTAGTATGCAGTATGTACTCCTGATGTTGTGGTAATGGTTGCTACTGTTTTGGTAGATTCTAGCAAGCTCTGATTGTATCAGGCAAAGTCAGGAAATGTGCCGACGTCTGCGTGTTCATATGCACAGATCATTGAGCATGCTCCGCTATGCAATCCCGACAAGCTTGAAGCCAACCTTGGAAAGCCGTGTCCCCAGACTTTGCCGAGAGATAGGTATAGATATTGAATATGGATGATTTAGATGGATGTAGACGATTGGATGATACATAGATGGATAGAAAATGAATGAGTCGTAGATAGGCAGATATATAGATAGATAGTATGAGGCTAGTGTGACATGTTGGATACCCAAGCAGCTCCCAGCCCCTAGCCAGAAGCTTTGCGCACCAGCCCTTATATTGATCCTACCTTACTCTTGCTCCTGCCTTTTCTGCCTTTTCAACTACCAAGCATTTGTTCGCCTCGCAGGACCGCCAGTCCACGTTTGTGCCGGTCCGCCTGATTGCTGCAAGGACCGGGAAGAGGCGGGTGACACAGCAATGCAGCTCTTAGAGCGGGTCATGCTAAAACCCATTGCAGTTCCTGCTCTCAACAAGTGGACCAAAGTAGCTCCCTGCGTGCGTCACGTGTCCTTGCTGCAAAACTTTTGCCAGCTTGCGCCGAAAGCCTTTGAGGCAGCATTCCAGACTGCTGGCATGGTCGCAGACCAGGTTTCTTCAGAGGACGAAGGCGAGCAAGTGGGTGCACCTGTCAACGAGACCAAGGTTTGGAGAAAGCTTGCCAAGCTGCGCCTTTGCAAGGCAGGTTTTTTCTTGCAGGATGAAACGGCTAGATGGTCCACGTGTGTTTGGATGGTACTCAGTGCGCCTGTGATGAGAATTCACTATTCGCTTTTCAAGCATGCGACCTGGCACACCCACAGGAAACAGGACCTGGAGGCACAGGCAGCGGATGCACTTGATGCGTTCACGACTGTTTGTTTTTGCAAAGCAGCCGAAAACCCTGCCAAGAAAGCTTTGGAAAATTTGGGTGTCTTGTTGCTAAACTTGGAAGATGATTCCTGGGGCCCTGCTGTTTTGGCCTTTGGCCCGGTTTTGTCATGGCCACAGACCAGGTTGAGAACCACCAGGCGGAGCTTTTGTGTTGTCATTGGACAGTTGTGGCGCAAGCTGTTGTATCCATGGTCACAATTTCCATGGAAGCTGGCTGTTTTGGTAGACCCAGCAGAAACGGCAGCGAACAAAGAAAGCTGCGCAAAAAAACTGTTTGATGTTCCGCATTGCTGCCTGGATGGTTTCTCCAGAAAACTGAGGGAAAGGACAGCCGATCCTGAGGGGTTAGCCCAAGTTGATGTTTTGAATTTTTTGGAGGAGGTTTTTAACCGGGTGGTGCCAACATCAACCTTTATCGAGCGCATGTTTGCACGCTTGAGTGAATGGAGCACTCCTCGCAAAGGCCCCAAACCAAAGCTATCCAGTGTGTGTGCCAAGCATTGCAACCACCAGTTTGAGCAATGCGTTTCTTTGTGGCGCCTGAACACCCTGAAAGTTAAAGGCAGGAACAAGCACAACAGGCGACCTGCATGGGTGATGCCAGCCAACACAGTTGTCAATGGCTGGAACTTATTTCAGCAAGATTTGATCGCTCGCAATCCAGCTTTGCAGGCTTTGTCGCTAGCAGAGATGGCTGCAGCCACGAAGACGGAGTGGTCTAAGCTGTCCAGAGACCAAAAAAAGCATTGGGGCGCTTTGGCCCGGGCTCAGAACTTGGATTCCGTGGATGACGCGGCTTCAAGCCAAGTTCCCGAGCAGACCGGTGGGCCTTGGAACGCTGCCTCGAGCCACGGCTTTCCTTTGGCTAGGCATCTCATTGCAGACAAGTGCCACGAGGCCACCAAGGTTGGTACTGCATTTCGGAAGGCACACAATGTGCTGCAACCTGAAGGTGCTGACAGCATGTCTGGTGAGCCAGACCCGCAGTGGCCTTTGCTTGCCCCCTGCCCGGTCGATGCGTGTGAGCATTGCCTACCTGAGGCAAGCAGGCCCACCATGAGCCGTCTTTTGGACTCGTTCTGGAAAGTGATTCTGAAGCAGGCTCCAAGCCTCAAGGCCACAGGGTCTGAACCTTTGGTTGTGTCGTTTCATTCGCCGAGCACCCGAAGAATTCACGATGTGGCCGTGATGTTCCACACGTTGCGGGCTCCACATCAAGCGGCTCTTTTGGTTCTCCATAGAGAAGAGTCCCCAGAACTGATGGCAGATGGCATTTTGGCCAGCTTGCACGCTAGCCCTTTGGGCAGGTTCAGGGGACAGCTTGACATTTTAAGCGAAAGCATGCTCTTGGCAAAAATGGCCACAGAGGCGCAAGATTGGGAGATGCGGATTGCCAGGCTTGGGCGGGTTCAGTTGCTAAGCCGCTTTGATGTTATTGGTGAGTCAGCAATTGACGAAGATGAGTACCTGGATTCGAGGCGATCGCGTGAACAAATGGAAGCCAACGCGGCTTTGGCTGCATTCGCTTTGGCACACCCGGCTGAGCAGCCTAAACGCACAACTGCAAAAAAGCCTGGCCAAGGCCCGGCCCAGAGACCCAAGACACAAGCACAAAACTCTTTGCAACAGGAGAAGAAGCTCCAGGGAATCATTCCATTTCTCTCGGATTCGGAGTCTTCTCACGCGGAAGACTTTGGAGCTGAAAAGGCCAAGGCCAAGGCGGCCACGGCAGCAAGCTTGGCAGTTGACGAAGCCGAGGTTTGGCTTGGAAGCGGCTGCGAAGAGGTTGCAGCCCCAGAGCCAGCAGGCAACGCAGCGGCTTCAAGCCGGGATCCTGCCACCCAAAGAGGAACGGTCCAACATCGCGCCACAACTTGGGGCTGTTTTACAATTGGGCGGCACACATCCAAGTTTTTTGGAGACGGTTGGGTCGCAACCTGCGGCATGCATCACAACTCAGACGACAAGACTGGCGTGGTGTGCAGAAAGGTGCTTCCTGTGCAGAACCTGACTGAGGCGGAATGCAAGCTTCGCTTGAAGCGCTGGCTTGTAGCCGGGTTGGATGAAGCCAGCATGGGGGGCAGTAAAGCCAGGTCTTTGCACCTTGCCAAAGGCGGCCCAAGGTTGAACCACTTTGCCACAGGCCTTCCCGAAGAGGAGCTTGACAAGCGCGTGGGGGCATGAAGGCAAAAAAGTTTTTTTGCTTGTGTGGAGCTGAAGTGCTTGCTGCAGGCTGCATGCTGGTATGATGTTGCTTCCCAAGGACCAGGAGACCGTGGCTCAGAGTCTAGTCTGGTAGGTGCAGCTAAAACAATATTGCAATAATATCTGAAGAGGAAATCTCTGTGGTATTATAATTCCAAACTATTTTTAACAAATATTGTTATTATTAAACTATTATTAAAACAATTGTTCAAACTATTACACAAACTATTGCTAATAAAAATCTCCGCTTATCTTTTTCGTTTCTCTGCTTATCTTTTTTGTTAGCTGCTTTAAGTTTATATAAAACAATAAAAAGATAAGCAGAGATCTCTGCTTATCTGGGCCGAGATTTCTATTGACAATTGTTTTGATAATTGTTTTGATAATTGTTTCAAAAGTTTGGTTAATAGTTTGGTCAATAGTTAATTTGTTCGCACATTCTCTGGAATTGTTCTGGATCGGCCCAAGATTTGTTTTGAGTCGCTGTGATTGCTCGGTTAGTGCCAATGGAAGCAGGGGAAGAACACCCGTCCGAAGAAGCCCAGCAGCTGGAGACGCTGCTGGAGCAGTCTGACGCTGAGTCGGAAACGGAAAAGTCTGTGGCAGCACCAAGCGCCAGCGTGCCCAGCTTCAAGGGACTGCTGGGTCTTGCAGTCAGCTTTGCGCACTCCAAGCCGTGCAGGTGCTGCTTGTGTGGCTGCACTAGCACCGATCCCAGTCCCCTGGTGGGTGAAGGGGATAACCAGGTCGATCATGTTCTGCTAGAGGCCGCTGAGCTGCGCAAGCGGCCTTGGGCCAAGTACAGAAGGATCATCGCTGAGGGAGAGGCTCTGCGAGTGCCTGAAGGAAGGTGTTGTGGGCCCTGCATCAACGTGTTTCGCCTACTAGGCCGGGCCTGGAGGGTACCAGAGAGAGAGAGAGAGAGGACGGGAGAGAGAGTTGTTGTCAGTCACACAAAAAAGCAAAAAAAAAAAATCGCGAGCGCTACCGCAGGGGGGTACCCCACTAGAAACGGAAGGAAGAAAGATATCTCTGTGGCACCAGAAAGGGGGAGGGGGGGGGAGGTGGGGGGGGGGGGGGGGGGGGGGGGGGGGGGGGGGGGGGGGGGGGGGAGGGAGGGGGGGGGGGGGGGGGGGGGGGGGGGGGGGGGGGGGGGGGG